AGAATAATAGGGAGTAGTTTGAGGGGAATTAATGGCAATCTGTCTTTTACTATAATACATTTTTAAAATTTAAACACACTGTATCTTTCAATCACCTCTTATTTGCATAAGTGTTTCCTAATGTTAATCACTCCTATGGAGAGAATCTTATCTAATTTTTGCAATATCCATGTAGGCTAGGAGGGAGATTCTTTTCATAGTAGAAAGAACATGCAAAGGGCCAATAGGAGACCTGGGCTCAAGTTCTAGGACTCCCACTTACCAATCAGATAACCTGAGACACTGTTATCTTTCTGGGAATTGGCTTCCCTTGGATAGAAATATGGGTGGTTTAACACTGAGAGAGTTCTAGTGAAGATTAGAAGTGATTATGAAAGGGAAAGTATTTTGTAAGCCAGAGACAGTAATGTGGAGTTAAAACATGGCAAGTATAGCAAAGATTTCCCACTCTGGGATTCTGGAGCCCTGCAGAACAAATCCCATCTCCGCTACCGACTAATTGTTTGTTTTTAAAAGAACTTTTATTTTTTATAAGTACTTGTTTATATAATGATCACATTCCTGGTGGGGAGCTGGTACATGTACATAATGCATCTGAATTCTTTTTTTCATTCCCTTCCTCTTCCTCCTCTTCCCCCCATTTCTCGCTCCCCTTCCCATTTGCAAAAGATCTAGCTCCCTACTTCCTATTATCTATCTTTTATTTTACTCTTGGTTTTTTTGAGACAGAGTCTCACCATGTAGCACAGGCTGGCCTTGAACACAACAGCAATCCTCCTGCCTCAGCCCCCCCGGGTGCAGGGATCACAGGCGTGTGTCACCACGTCTAGCTTTTATTTTACTCTTTATTTATATTTGGGTTTCTTATATAAGAGAAATCATGCAATACTTAAGCTTGTGTGTCTTTTTTTTTTTTTCAGGTACTGGGGATTGAACTCAGGACCTTGTGCTTGCAAGACAGGCGAGGTGCCACTGAGCTAAATCCCCAGCCCTGCTTGTGTGTCTTTTTACTTCACTTAACATTATGGTCTCCAGGTGCATCCATTTTCCTAAAAATGACTCAAGTCTATCCTTTTTATGGCACAATAGTACTTCATTGTGTAGAAATACATATTTTCTTCATCCATTCACCTGCTGATGGGCATATAAGCTGCTTCCAAGATTTAGCTATTTTGAGTTGTGTGCTCTTAACATGGGTATGCCTGTGTCATTGTAATATGAAGTTTTTAACTATGAGCTTCTGCCCAGCAAAGGAAACAACCAGCAAAGTGAAGAGACAACCTACCGAATGGGAAAAAAATTAGCCAGCTATTTCTCAGACAGAAGACAAATATCTAGAATATATAAAGAGTTCAAAAAAATTAGACCCCTCCAAATACAAGACCCAATCAAAAATGGGTAATACACTTCTCAAAAGTACAAATGGCCAATAAATACATGAAAAAAAATGTTCAACATTGCTGGCTGTTACAGAAATGCAAATCAAAACAACATTGAGATAGTACTTGACTCCAGAAAAAATAGCTATCACCAAGAAATCAGTAACAGATGGTGGGGGGAAAGGAAGCCTTGTCGATGGGAATTAAACTAGTACCACCATGATGAAGGTCAGTGTGGAGATTCCTCAAAAGACTAAAACTAGAAATTCCACACGACCCTGCTATTCCCCTTCTAGGTATCTGACCAATTGTTTGGCACCGCACAAGTTACGTCACTGGTATAAATATACTAATAATATATATAACATACAGTATACATCACTGGTCTTTACACTAAGTATAAATTGGGATTGATAACAGTGCCTCTCCGGCAGAGGTGTTGGCAGGGGACAGTGAGACAATGCAATAGAAGGCTTAGCACGGGAAGCAGCACACACTGGTACTCTCTGCTGCTTGTGTTTCTCGTTCAGAACACTGCCCCATCAAGGCCGTCTTGACATGGCTCAGTACAATATACTAACAAAAGGGTGGGCTCTAAGTCCAATGGGCTGGTGACCCAGTGCTGTGTCCAGGGAAAACTTGCCCTGCATACTCAATCCTCAACCCTTTCGCCTGTCAAGTGCAATGACAGATAATCCCTTCCATGGGAAGATTTTGTGTGGCTAGAATGAAACACTTTTGAAGACCCATATATGGCAGATGCTCAGGTGGAAACCAGCTCCGCCCCAGAGATGGAGAAACCGAGGGACAGAGGCACCATGCGACTTCACTGAGCAGGTGAGAGGTGAGCAGGGCTGAGGTAGAGCTTGAGCCCCGGGGGAACTAGAAACAGGCTGGCTGGTGGGGATTCCACCCCGGGTGTCAGGAGCAGTGGCAGACAAGTGATCCCCACACAGGGCACCGCAGAGTGCAGCAGGGTCCCTGAGAGCTGCACTGCCTGGATTCAAATCCTGACCCTGACGTGGACCGGCTGTGCGCCCTCAAAATGGGGATGATGATGAGATCCGTGAGAGTTGTCGTGCAGCTTAAAATTGTTAGCTCTGTGCCTCATATGGAGTAGGTATTATTATAAGTCTTAAAGACAAATTTAATTCATGCAAAATTAAAATTCATGTGCTTAGCCCCAAAAAAGTGAGAAAAATGTAACTTAAACTGGGGGAATTCACTCCACGAGCACGTGCGCAGAATGCAGGTGAGATGGACGGGTGTCTGCCTGGCCCTCAGCCCGACCCCCTGGCTCCTTGCTTGCAGCAAGTGCATTTCTTGAAGGATTTTCCCCACCGAACAATATAGTCCCAGGTCAATCGCTTCATCTGTTCCTCAAATGGCCAGAAAGCAGTCTGCTCCATCCCTGGCCTTGCTGGCCTGCGGGACTGTGTGGTCCCCAACACGGGCCTTCACCCCACACAGGACAGGACTCTCCTGAGCTCCTGCATTCTGGGCTCTCCTGGTGCTCATTTCTCCTTCCCAGCAGGTGACGACTCCTTGAGGTGACAACTACAGTTCTGCACAATTTCCAGGTAATTCCAGCTCCTGCTCTCTCATGTACTGAAATATACGTGTGTGAGGCAGCTCAATACTAAAGGAGCAACCTCAAATCCACTCTATGTTGTCACTATCAAAATAGTCGATCAGCAGCGAACAGGCTAACTTTAATGAGTATTAGTCACAAATGACTAATTGCTCTGAATCTCAACACCATCAGCTGAAATTGAAAACCGCTGCTCCAGGTCTGCACAGCCTCTTCCTTAAGATGGAGGTTTTTCCCTTAGTCCACTGAGCAGGCTGAGACTGTCCTTCATCTGCTGATGCCCATGACTCAGTTTGGGGACCGCCCACCCACGGACAAGGGACAGTAGAGATTGGGGGTCCCAGAGGTGGCGAATCGGGGGCTCGAGTGCCCCAGGGGCTCTTTGTATCATCGAAAGCCCTTAAAGGTTTGCCACCGCTAGTCTAGAGGTTTAAGCCCGGCCTCTGTTACCACCTAAATACCTTTAGGTCTTAATTTCCCAAGGCAAAGCTAGAAATTTCAGGTAAGAGAATAACTTAATTCCCAAAGGCAAAGCTAGAAAGTTAGATTCCGTTCTTTCCCTGACTTTGTCAGGTCCTCATATAAGTTATCATTTACTTGATATTTTTCTTTACATTGACTCTTGTTATAGTAAAAAAAATTTTATTTTAAAAGTAACTCTAGTTCCGTTTAGAGCATAATAGTGAACCAATTCATCATCTTGAAAACTGTTAAAGGGAAAGAATCAAGTATTTATTTTTCCTTTTCTGCATGAACTGGAGCATCAGGGAACCAACATGGGGAAGCCTCTCTTTATAAAGCATTCCAACCAGTAAATGAAAACGAAATGGTAGAATCAGGATATCACTATCTTACAGTACCTAACAAATTAATGGGTCAAGGTACTGAGTGTCAACTGCTGCCAATATCACGGAGAGACAACTGGACATTGTATGCCTTGGGATGGAAGAACACATCCACCATCTATGGCCTTGCCAAAGGGACCAGAGCTGAGCTGGACCAAGCTTTAGGTCCAGCTGCCAATTGACGGGAAACTGGGAGGACAGAGGAAGCATGCTGAGGTGCCTCAAGAGTACACAGTCAGCAAAGGCCAGAGTGTGAAAATGCCATGGGCCAAACAGCCCAGGATCTTCAGCAGGTAAAAAGCAGATCCAAGAAAATGATGGGAGGGATTAGAGGATCACCAAACACTTAAAAGACATGTCAAATTAGATGCAAAATGCAATGGCAGCCCACCTCACATAGAAAGGGGGTTCTAAAACCAGCATGTAAGTTGAGAACTGAAGAGTTAAGGGTAATCTTGAAGAATCCCTTAAGTCATTAGACTAGTCGCCTTTGAAGCCACAGCTGCAAGAATTAACTTTGCACCACTTTGCACTTGGGCTCTGTCCTTTTCCTCCTCAGCTATGGAGGCCAAGGACTAAAGTGAACTAGACAAAAGTAAGGATTTACCCAGAGAGATCTCTCACTTTCACAGACAGAGCTGGAATCACGGGCAATGGCAGACAGTGCACAAATGTTCCCTTCTCATCGGGGCAGCCCTGGCTCTAAGCGCGGGCTCACGCCTAGGACATTGTGCCTAGCCCCAGCTGTCCCCGAGGCCGCGCTCTCAGCACCTCGACCTCCAGGAGGCCCTGCCAAGACCTCAGGCAACCTGCAGAGAGGCACTGATGCATTTTTCCAAAGGGTCTGGAGGAATGACTGTAACTATCTAGAGGCAGTCTGTGGACCTTCTCCCTGAGTTCCTGTCCCCAAGTCACCCTTGCTGTTAGAGAAAGGCTCTGCTCTGTTGATTAGAAAACAAATTGCTTGAGTTCCTTTATCTGAGTTTGGACAGAATCTGCTCCAGGGAAAGTGTTTCTCAGTGGCAACCTTGGGAATCCTCAGCTGACTCCCTGGGGCCCAGAATCTTTCTGTTTCTAGAATGGGAAGGGCCCAGGTGTCTCGCTGGGTGGGTGCTGTGGGTATAGCCTTGGCCAAAGCCCAGGGGAACCCAAGAGGCAGCTGTCCCGGGCCACTGGACAAGTTACCATGGTCTGGAAGCAGGAGTGCAGCTGGGTCAGGAACGGTGGCTTCCCAGGCAGGGCCAGCACCCGTTTCTCCACCATGGTGCACTCCACGTCGTCATCTTGGATCACCACATCCTTCTTCAGGATCTTCACGGCGTAGAGCTCGTCTGTGCCCTTCCGCTCTGACAGCATGACCTGGAGAGGACAGGGAGGCCATTGGGCAGTTAGAGGGGCCTGGGGGACAGCGCTGGGCAGCTGGTGTCCACTGAAACCGGCTCCCAGCTGTGCACAGATGCCCTCTGCTAACTGAGACAACAATGGCACTTTCCACCAACCTCGTGCTTTGAATGGCCAAGTCTAACCAAAAGAGGAGGATTCCAGGAAAGGTCACCAAGTATTGACTCCTTTGGGATATGTATCAATGCCTAGCCAATGTGGCTAGAATAATGACCCATGAAGATAGTGTCTTTGCCTGTTCTGTTCAGTGGCATAACCCAAGAGCCTACAATGGTACTGGGCATGCCGTGGATATTCAATACAGGCTTACTGAGTGAGGAAATCAGTGAGTGTTTAATAAAACTGCATTTGGGACACTTGTTCCTGTATTCATTCAATTATGCAATGTTCTTTAAGAGCCTGCTAAGCCCTGGGGAGGCAGCAAAAAAAAAAGCAGACACATTCAACACATTCTCTGACCCTGAACTCCAGAGGGGAAGAAAGACTTTGGACAATTAATTAAACGGGTGATTACTGTAACATTTGCACAGCATCTCCTGTTGTCTTGGGGTTTCCTTCTGTGAGCTGTGGTCACAATCAGAGCCAGCTAACTGGTACAGCTTACAGATCCATCATTATTTCATGGGTACTGAGCATGCCAAGGGGAATTACGGCCAGCAGGTACTACTCTCAGGAAGCTTTTTGGAAGCCCAAGGCAGGATTACCCAGTGGAGAGGCCTAACTTGGCCTGGGAGCTCCCAGGAGGCTTCCTGACAGAAGGAACAATAACAGTGAAGTATTTATAGCATGCACTGTGCTGGATCCTTTGCAAGCAATAATGTTAGTCACCACTGTATTTTTGATCACTTATGAATGCACTAAATAATTATTGGCTTTCACTTGTTAATCCCCATTTACTTTGCATCAGAGTCTAGGTAACAATATGAGTCCTATTTCACAGGAAACCGAGGCATAGGAAGGTAAGCAATCTGCCACACCACAATTCAGCTGAGACAGGGCCATGATTTGAACTCCGGTCTACCTGGCTGAAGTTCCTATCTCTAATGCTCCACTTGAGATCCAGAAAAACCCTCAAAGAGTTTAGGTGAAGGAAATGAAGTTCTCAGACTTGATTTAGCCCGGGGACCAGAGGCAGTGACGTACAGAATGGGCTTGCAGGCGAGAAGCTCAGCACACCCCACCTTCCTCGTGTCAGAGGCCCGACTGGGTTTGTGCACTGCAGGCTCTGGACTGCTGTGTTCCTGTACTGAGGCATCCAGGCCTCACGCATGTGCAGAGTCCCCATCTCCTGCTTCCTCTATCTTCTCTCATCAGCCGGCAGGGGCCAGCAGACACAGGGATTTAGGGCACGCTAAGAAGGCTTTTGGCACATGAAAATATAAAAGCCGCTCATCTGAGTGGAGTATTGACTCAATCCCCCAAACAGAGCCACCAGCTTCGGTGACAAGGCAAGCTCACAGAGTTAAAATGTGTGTTTTGAATTTATTCCCTCCCTCTGTTCTCCCCCTGGTGCCCAAGGGCTGTTTTCCTTTCCCCAGCTCTTTCACTGTCTGAAGGAGGCCACTGGCCAAAGGCGGAAGAGCTGGATTGAGAGAGGGGATTTTCTGCTCTCAAAATTCAGAGAAAGCTGGGGGCTATGCAGGTACAGAAGAAGCAGAGAGGCAACACAGATGGCATGCAAACAGGCAGCAGGCCTGCAGGAGGGAGCAGGGAGAGCCTTCAGTCGGAGACTCATGGGGTGCAGCAGGAAGGGCTCAGTCCTGAGCTGTCCTCAGTGGTGGACCCCTTCCCTGACTACGGCCAGCGGTCGAGTCAGCACTCAGGAGTCCTGAAAGCTTGTGTGTCCCCTGCTTCTCCACTCAGAACAGACAGGAGAGTTCTTGGACACTACACTTGCAGATGCAGTCATGGTAAGATGTCTTAGCCCTCTGCATGGAAGAGAAGCAGGACAGAGGGCTGGGAGCATCTCCTGGGAGCAAAGGTAACATCCTACCTCTGTTTCAGTCATGCCCACTGGGCAGGTAAACAACTCAAGGCCCAGAGAGGATACCTTACCCAGGCAAGCAAATTTTCTAAAACTGCAGCCCAGACCATGCTACTTGGATGTGGAAAGTCCTCAATGGCAACCAAGGGCCAAACGGTATCCAGTTCTTTTCTTGCCTTTGAACATTCCATTCCCACTGTCTGCAAGGCCTTTCTATACGCTTCTACTGCCTAAAAAATCTGAGACTCAGCTCAGATGTCACCTCTGCCTATAGATTTGATGATCCACTTAGCAAAATGTGGCCACTCCTGCCTCGGTGCACCCAGACTGCTTTGTACCTTTGTCACTTACTTCGATATAGGCCTTTCTAAATATCAATCATTTGTGTGCCTTGTCCACATTTTTCCTGCCCCCTACACTGTTGTTCGCTTAGCATTTAAAAATCTAATCATGCCTCTGGCACATCCTAGGCACTTATGTTTACATGGGAAAGAAAAATAAAAAATAGCCATAGCACTAGCAAGGGTGAAGGCTACATTCTACAGTGCTCTTGTAAGTGGAAATTATCTTGTATTTAATTGTAATGTGTAGTTTCTGGAGCTTCCAGAAACCTTAATACCAACATTGAGGGCGTGGGCTGTTTATTCAGCTGTCCCTCCCTCTCCAGGGTGAGGATTCCAAACAGATTGAAAGGATGTGTTGAAGTGATGTTCTTATCAATTTCCAAGACACATCTGTTACCCAAGAATCTTCTGGGATAGATGTGATAAATAGCACTGACAGCAAATAAAACAGAGGAAAGTAGCCAGGAGTCCCTGGATAGAAAGTTTCTTGTGGTGAACTTTACTGGCAAATCCCAAAGGTGAAGTGTGCTTGAGAATCTTGGCCTCTGCCCATGGGGTGGAGCCCTACACTGGTAGGGTATGGACTTCAGAGTTAGAAGACCTGGTGTGATAGTTAATTGTGAGGTTGACCTGCATGGATTAAGAAACGCCTAGCAGGTCAGTGGAGCACAGTTCTGGGTGTGTCTGTCTATGGATGGGTGACCTGTAGGATGAAAACTGAGGAAGGAAAACCCACTCAGATGTGGTGGCAGAACCGACAGGCCTAAAGCCTTGATGAAACAAATGGGGAAAGAAGAAGGAAGTCTTCCCTTTTGCTTCTTCTGAGGAGCTCTGGTCTTCACCATCACCTTTGAACATTTATCTCCATTTCTTTCAGGCCACCAGCGCAGACCCTTCAGCCTTCCAATGCAGACCCTTCTGCAGTGAGCTCCCGGGCTTCAACTTTTGACTGGATCCTCTGCACGGCCATTTTGTATTCTTCCACCCCTGACTCCACAGGCAGCTGTTTAAAGCCTTCTTGTAAATCCTTTTCATACCACATATATTAAGTCTGTTCCTGTAGTAAACTTTAACTGATATGACTGGTATGTGTACAAGTTCTACCATGTACTAGGGGAATTCACTTCACCTTCCTAAGCCTCAGTTTTCTCATCTGTGAATCAGGGATGCCAATAATATTCAGGGTACAGATAGAGGGAGCAGAGTACACACCTCACCTCAGCACCACACCTGGCAAACAAGGAGTGCTTCACACCTGGGGACCAGATTTGTTTCCTGAGGGGTCATAGCAAGGAATAGAAATGTATTCTCTCCAAGTTCAGGAGGTCAGAAGTCCAAAATGAAGGTGTTGGCAGAATTGGTTGCTTCTGGAGACTCCGAGGGAAAATCTGTTCCGTGCCTCTCTCCTAGCCTCTAATGACTGCCAGCAATCCTTGGCATTCCTTGGTGTATAGATACATCACTCCAATTCTGCCTCTGTCTTCACATGGTGCTCTTCCCTGTATGTTCTGTGTCCAAATGTCTCTCTTATAAGGACTCCAGCCATTGGATCTGGATCCACTCTAAGCCAAGATGACCTCATCTTAACTCAATTACATCTTCAAAGACTTTGTAGCCAAATAAGGTCACATGCATAGGTAAGGGATTGAATGTACACTTGGGGGGAGAATACATTTTTATCCACTTAGTGGCTTCCTCAACAATCCCGAGAAGGACCAAGGGGATTGATGGTTACCCTTGAACAAAGCCCCAGTTTCCAGTTTTTGGCTGGCTGAGGGACTTTGCCATAAGGGAACTGTGTGTTCATGTGTTCACTAACGGGAGAGGACAGAGACAGTGAGAATCAAAGACCCTACCTACCACAGCATCCCCAACACTAATAGACACTTGTCAAAAATGCAAAGCCTGATTGAGTTACCCTTAATTCTCTCCTACACTTTTCATCTAGTACAGCCCAAGTTTTGTCAGCTCTGTGTTCCAAATATTTTCCCAATACCAGCCCCTTGCTGATCAAAGCCATTGTCACCCTCAGCCCGGCCGCCTACAACTGCTTCCCGACCAGCTCTCTGCTTCCATTCTGCTTGGTCCTAAACTCCACACCCACTATACTTCCCACAAACTGACCAGTGCCTTAGAATCTCAAGCCAGATCGTGTCATTCCTTCTCCCTAAGACCCTCTTCAGTCTTCTGACTGTACTTACAATGAAATCCCATCTCTCGAGGCCCCTGCTTTGGCTTTTCCTGACTTCAGGACTCTGTCCCCAGACACACTCAATCATTTGCTCCCTCACCTTGTTTACGTCACGGTACGAGGTGATTTCAGTTCCCTCTGCACCTCCTTTCTCTAAACATACATCCCTCTGCAATTTCCCTCTCCCAACTTAATTTTTTCTTCACAGTACTTATCACACCTGGCACTGTATTACCTGGCACGTCTAATTTTCTTTCTTACTAATGTGAGTTCCATGAGGTCAGATTTTGTCTGACTTGCTCATTGTCATATTCCCAGCATCTAGTACATAGTACATACTCAATGAGTGCTTTTTGAATAATGAACAAAAAGATCTCAGTGGAGAAAACAGCTTTAAAAACCTCTAGTCTAGGTCACAAGATCTAGTTACTTGAGCTTC